TTTTTTTTTTTTTTTATTTTTTATTATTATTTTTTTTTTAATATTTTGTAGAATACATTTGACAAAGGGAACTTTTTTTTTTCTTCCTAAAAAATTAGGGAAAATATTTTCTCATCAATTTTTGTCGGTTATCTGTTTTACAGACTTGAGGAGAGGCAACGAGCCGAAAAGAGAACAAGGGAGACAAATGGCGACGAGTTTAAACCCAAGTGGTTCGATTTAACGAGTGAGTTAGCTTCGACACCTTGGGGCGATTTGGAAATTTACAATTTCAACGGAAAATACGCGCAACATCGCGCGTCGGTTGATCATAGCTCGGATGGAGAATCGGAAATCGATAATTCGTCCCTCGAGTTCAATCCATGGCAGTATCAGAATTTGTCTGATACTCGAGCATAACTTTCCTTTATTCTCTCTTTTCCAAAAGAGGCCCCTATTCATGCTATATATTTGTTTTTCACCCTGATTTTATCTTTATTTTCATTTTCCCGTTCGTTTAGTTTTCATTTTCGTGTGGCTAGAGATTCGACGAAGTTTGAACCACTATGATGTGTGTGACTGTGTGTGTGTGTATATTGTGTATCAAATTTAGCATGAATATGTTCGTTGTGATTGATCTACTCTTGCAATTTAATCAGATTTCCAAGAGTCAAAATTGAAAATTTGGTCCTACATTATGAGTTAGCAATTTGTCTCACTGGAGTGCTATACAATAATTTTAGTCTTATAATTTATTATTATTATTATTATTATTTGCAATTTCAATTCGATTAAGATTCGGATGGGATTTAAATTATTAACTGTAAAATGATTGAAATTGCAGTAGGACTTGTAAAATGTATAATATCACTTCTATGGGATTTAAATTATTTTCATAATTTAATAGGAACAAATTATTAGTAATAGCCTTATTATTATTAGTTTTCAAAAAGTTGAAGTTGAATCATTCATCCACAGAATTTGAGTGGGAAGTTTGTCGGGTAAAATACACCAAATCTTCTTGTAATATACTAAATCTGCGCGTTATCTCCCTCTATTTTAAAAAAATGCGTCAAACCCCCTTTTATTGTAGTTTGGCTAGCACACCACCCCCGTCATCTTAGACGGTTTAGGGTGTTTCGCGCAAGCCAAACTACAATAGAAGGGGGTTTGACGCATTTTTTAAAATAGAAGGGGATAACGCACAGATTTAGTATATTACAAGGGAGTTTGATGCATTTTACGTCAAAAGAAAAGCTTTATTAATTCCACAGAGAGAGAGAGAGAGAGAGTTTCAAATTTAATAGGACAAAATACGCATGGCTCTCATATTTTAATGAATGAAAATCATTAGGCTATTGGGCATCTTCTTATTTTCAAAACAAATCAAACCAACTTATTCAAACAACAAATTCCCTTCAAATATTCTGTCATCAAAAGTCTTTGATCAGAGCTATATGTGCTCAATTTATTCAAACCAAAGTAAACTCAATACATCACATTCTCACCTCTATCATAGCTACTAAGGTTGCTTTTTTTTTTTTTTTTTTTTTTTTTTTTTTTTTTTTTTTTTTTTTTTTTTTTTTTTTTTTCTTTTGAATTGTCAGGAAAAATGGATCTGCTTCATCATGAATTTCCCGACAAAGTGTTGTCGTTTCCTTCTTCAGGCCACATATCAACCGTCGATGATCACGGCGGTCGAAACGGTTGTGATATGTCGGATGCCGCCTTGAGATACATTGACCAGATTCTCATGGAAGAGGACACGGACGATGGGGCCCACATGCTCGAAGAGTCGTCGCATTTTCAGGAGACCGAGAGATCCTTCTACGAGGTGCTCGGAAAAAAATACCCCCCTTCTCCGCAGCAAGAATCGTCCCAGCTTTATGCCGATCATCACTATAGTTCGACGAGCGGAACACCAATTGATGTTGTCCGCGAAAGCCGGTTCAAAACTCCCACGGGCCCGTTTGACAGTCTCACGGATCACATTGTTCCGTCCGACTCCTCCATTAGCCCGTCGAGCGGCTTGTATTGCGTCGTACAGCATAAAAGATCTATTGGCGGGAGTGAAGGGGTTTGGGATTTTAAAGAAGGGGCCACGCGCGTGTCTAATTTCGTCCCGAGGCAAGGTAAAATGTTGCACATTATCAGAGTCACGATTCAAAATCCTCCGGAAGGTGAAAATAAAGCGGTAAAACCGAGCGAAGATCGAGCAAGAACCACCAAGAATCCCCCAGGCTTTACGGAGTCCGACATCCCCATAGAAGAATTCGACAAGCTCTTGCTCTCCACGCTCGATGACCGTGTGTCGAAAGACGTGAAAAACCCGAGAAGCTCAGTGAGTAAGGCCCGACTTGTTAAGTCTCACAAGGTTAAAAGAGAGGCGATCGACTGGTCGACCCTCTTGAGTAAATGCGCCGAAATGGTGGCGTCAGACTACCGCCAAGCCGCGACTTCTCTCCTAACTGAAATCAGACAGCACTCGTCCCCTAACGGCGACTGGGCCGAGAGGCTGGCCCACTACTTTGCCGACGGGCTTGAGGCCCGCCTGGCGGGGACTGGCAGCCAGATGTACAAATCACTAGTGATCTCCCCCCCGGCCTGCCTCAAGACTTACTACACGTCGATCGCGTCTTTCCCGTGTCTGAAAGTCACGAACCTCGTCTTGAACAAGCTCCTCACGGCCCGGTCGGCGGGCTCGGCCCGTGTCCATATCATCGACTTTGGCATCATCCACGGCTTCCATTGGCCGATCTTCATCCGGCGCTTGGCCCTTCGGCCTGGCGGGCCCCCGAGGCTCCGGATCACCGGCGTCGACTTCCCAAGGTCCGGCCCCGGGCCCACGAAGATGATGGAGGAGACGGGCGAGCGGCTGGCCCGCTATGCTCAGGCCTTCGGCGTCCCGTTCGAGTTCTCCGGCATTGTCGCCCAGGAGTGGGAGTCGGTCAGCACGGCCGACTTCCGAGTCGAGCCCGGCGAATTCTTGGCCGTGACGTGTTCGCATCGCGGGAAGAACCTTCAGGACGAGTCGAAAACGGCAGTTCTCAAGCTGATACGGGGAATCGGGCCCGACGTGTTTGTGCACGACGTGGTGGACGGAGCGTACAGCGCCGGGAGTCTCTTGTTTCCCACGCGCTTTCGGGAGGCTTTCTTTCAATTCTCGGCACTATTCGACATGGTGGAGAGCACGAGCATGCTCGATGGGAAACCTGGGAGAATGCTGTTCGAGGGGATATTTCGAAAGGATATAATGAATGTGGTGGCGTGCGAAGGGCCAGATAGGGTTGAGCGGCCCGAAAATCGAAGGCAGTGGCACGTGCGACACGTTCAGGCGGGTTTGAGACAGGTCTCGTTCGGGAGGGAGCTGACGGTCTGGGTCACGAGGAAGGTGAAGGGTTCGTACCACCGGGATTTCGTGGTGGAGGAGGAGAACAAGTGGTTGTTGATGAGTTGGAAAGGGAGGGTGCTATCTTCCTTGTCCTGTTGGGAGCCTGCTGAGGTGAAGAACCCTTAATTAACATGGAATACTCATCTTACAAAAATGAACAAGTCTCAACTTCCATATGTAGCACCAAATATGGTTGATTGTTCAGTACATACAATCCCTAAAGATATCTAAATATCATTTTTATTTTTATTTTTGTAACCGAATTCCCTACTGATCCTTATAAAGCAATTCTGATGGAACTATATTTCCTTCAGCTGCTTGGTTCGTTTCTGTGTATTACGCTTTACAAAGGACCTGGAAGCCATTTAATCCGATTCTTGCCGAAACTTATGAAATGGTTAATCATGATGGCATCACACTTATTGCCGAGCAGGTCATGCTATTTTACAATTCTTCCGTGTTTTTGTGACCGGATGATATTTTAATTATCAGGTGAGCCATCACCCTCCAATGAGCGCAGCTCATGCGGAAAACGAGCATTTTGTGTATGATATTACGTCAAAGGTGAAAACCAAGTTCTTAGGGAACTCGATCGGTTGATATATATCCTGTTGGAAGGTACATAAGCTATTCTCATGTCAAGAAAATCGACTGATTTGCTGTCTGTTTCATTTTTTAGCTGCTTATTTTTTGCCTGTGTTTCGATTATGCATTTAGTACAGGACAAGGCTAAGTACCCTTAAAAACTCAAGTGTGGTTTTGGATTTGGTCCCTCCTCCTTCGAAAGCACACAATATCATTTTCGGACGACGAACGTGGGTTGATTCGCCCGGTGATGTGATTTTGACTAACCTCACCACGGGAGATAAGGTTGTTTTGTATTTCCAACCTTGTGGGTGGTTTGGGTGAGTCCTTTCTTACCTAATTGTTTATATTCGAAATTTTGGTGGTTTATATATTATTATTATCTACACTATTATAATACTGCAATAAGCTTTCACTCAGAACTTAAGAGTGTTGGGGGAAATGTTTAACTCAGAACGAGCTCGTGTTCGTGTGATTATTGAACGAGCCTAATTTTCTATTCAAACTCTGCTCGATTAACTAACAAACGAGCTCTTGTTGAACACGAACGAACTTTTGTTTGCAAATGTTTTGTTCGTTAACAGCCCTAGTTGTTTCCAAAGCTTATCTTCGGTAAAATTTCATGATAATTTGTGATTATATAGTGCCGGTCGTTATGAAGTGGATTGATATGTATATAATGCCGATGAAGAACCTAAATTCTTGATGACTGGAAAATGGAACGAGTTCATGAGCTATCAGCCTTGCGATTCTGAAGGAGAACCGTTTTTGTTTTTTCCTTCATAGTTTCTTAAATTATATTTTGTAGAATACATTTGACAAAGGGAACTTTTTTTTTTCTTCCTTAATAATTAGGGAAAATATCTTTCATCGATTTTTTTCGGTTATCTGTTTTCGAGACTTGAGGAGAGGCAACGAGCCGAAAAGAGAACAAGGGAGACAAATTGCGACGAGTTTAAACCCAAGTGGTTCGATTTAACGAGTGAGTTAGCTTCGACACCTTGGGGCGATTTGGAAATTTACAATTTCAACGGAAAATACGCGCAACATTGCGCGTCGGTTGATCATAGCTCGGATGGAGAATCAGAAATCGATAATTCATCCCTCGTGTTCAATCCATGACAGTATCAGAATTTGTCTGATGCTCAAGCATAACTTTTTATTTATTCTCTCTGTTCCAAAAGAGTCTCATATTCATGCTATATATTTGTTTTTCACCCTGATTTTATCTTTATTTTCATTTTCCCGTTCGTTTAGTTTTCATTTTCGTGTGGCTAGAGATTCGACGAAGTTTGGACCACTATGATGTTTGTGACTGTGTGTGTGTGTATATTGTGTATCAAATTTAGCATAAATATGTTCGTTGTGATTGATCTACTCTTGCAATTTAATCAGATTTCCAAGAGGCTAAAGAAAATTTGGTCTTAGATTATGAGATAGCAATTTGTCTCTTATTGGAGTGGCATACAACAATTTTAGTCTTCTAATTTAATTTAATTTTTTTTTTTTTTTTTTTTTTTTTTTTTTTTTTTTTTTTTTTACAATTTCAATCCGATTAGGACTAAAATTGCAACAAAATTTTAAATTATAAAACTTATATTGATAACTAAACTCTATCTCAAATATATAAATCGAGAATTTTAACTGTCAAATAATTGAAATTGCAGTAAAATTTTATTGTCCAATAATTGAAATTGCAGTAAAATTTTACGGACATAAAATACATTATAATGAGGATTTAAATTATTTTCATAATTTAATAAGAACAATCTATCATTATATAAAAAGAATAACCTTTTTATGATTTCCCGCCAAAATTTACCGCCAAAATCATTTAATGAATAAATGCATGGCTAGTTTTTCTGATGGTTCCCTTTTTTCTATTTTATAGGTTAACAAAATAACAGATTGTGTTGATATTATATAAAAATCTATCATTACAAAATCATATTAAGAAAATAATTGATAACTTATAAAATCTCATAGCATAAATCTACACGAGTTTATCTCTTATTTGTTACAAAATCTCATTGCATACATCTCACGGGTTTAAAATATCTCATCACTTATCTATCAAATTTAAAAGAAAAAATAAAAGGGTTATCGCAGTTTTGGCGCATCACCATATAAACTATTTTTTTTTTTTTACAAACCACCATATGAACTATACGGGTTTGTCAATATGCCCGCTAAACCGGATATAAAAGTGGTTTAGGGGGCACATTGACAAACCCGTGATAGTTCATATGGTGGTTTGTAAAAGTATTTAGGGGCACATATGGTGACCAAACAGTTTTTTCAGTCAAAACCACTTTTATATTTGGTTTAGGGGGCACATTGACAAACTTGTATAGTTCATATGGTGGTTTGTAAAAAAAAATAGTTTATATGGTGATGCGCCAAAACTGTGATAGTTCGGATGAGAAAAAGTATTTTACCCAAAATAAAATAAAATAGTAACCAATTCATAATTACTATTAGAAATCCATTATCTACTCTAAAAAGCTAATTTTCATCGTTCTAGTTACTAATATTTTTACAAATATTATAAGCTAACGATACATCCTCGATAACAACGTAAAAAGTATAATAATAATTTTGAAATTTTTTTGTAATCAAATTTTTTTAGATAGAAGTAGCGCCATAAATTCGGTATCATCTGACATAATGTGTTTATTAAATTAGGCTTATAATATTTTATATACTTTAAACAAATTGTTTAGACATTTTTTTTACATATTCGTCTATATATACATACACACACACATATATATATATATATGTATATATATATATACATATACACATATACATAATTGACATTAAATTTAAATATTTGTAAACATGTTTTCTTTACAAAATAATCTAAAAAAATCTTTGTTACACAATGTTAAATTCAAATGTTTTTAGATATGTTTTCCTTCTAAAATTGTTTAGAAAAGTTGTAAGTGACTTCATATCTTTCAAAAATAATATAGAAAATTTGAATACTTTTACATATACTAATATAATATTTTAGGTGTTTTTAATATTAAACATACAAATTTTATATTCTCTTATACAAAATAATTTTACATTGTTTGATCCCGAATCTTTAATTAATGATTATTAAGTATTGTTTATCCTCCTCTTTAATTTATAATTATTTTTTTCTTCTTCTTTTTAAATAAGATCAATAGTAGTTTCCACTTCCGCCATTAAGTGACTCAAACTCGAGGTCTCTTTATAATATTGTTAAATTAATATTGTTCCGTGCATCGCACGGGTGCACACTAGTTTTTAGTAATAGCCTTATTAGTTTTAAAAAACTTGAATCATCATACACATAAATTTGAGCAGGAAGGGAAAACTTTGAAGTTTGTCAAAAGAGAAGCAAGAAGGGAAGTCAACAAACCAAGAATACGCATGGCTCTCATATTTTAATGAATGAAAATCATTAGGCTATTGGGCATCTTCTTATTTTCAAAACAAATCAAACCAACTTATTCAAACAACAAATTCCCTTCAAATATTCTGTCATCAAAAGTCTTTGATCAGAGCTATTTGTGCTCAATTTATTCAAACCAAAGTAAACTCAATACATCACATTCTCACCTCTATCATAGCTACTAAGGTTGCTTTTTTTTTTTTTTTTTTTTTTTTTTTTTTTTTTTTTTTTTTTTTTCGATTTGAGTTGTTAGGTAAAATGGATCTGCTTCATCATGAACACTTGAAGAATTCATCCCATGGATTTCCCGACTGGGTGCTCAACAAAGAGTCGTCGTTTCCTTCTTCAGGCCAGATATCAACTGTTGATGACCACGATAGTCGAAACGGTTGTGATATGTCGGATGCCGCCTTGAGATTTATCGACCAGATTCTCATGGAAGAGGACACGGACGATGGGACCCACACTCTCCAAGAGTCGTCACATTTTCAGGAGACCGAGAGATCCTTCTACGATGTGCTCAGAAAAAAATACCCCCCTTCACCGCAGCAAGAGTCGTCCCAGCTTTATGCCGATCATCACTATAGTTGGACGAGCGGAACACTAATTGATGTTGTCCGCGAAAGCCGGTTCAAAACTCCCACGGATCACATTGTTCCGTCCAACTCCTCCATTAGCCCGTCGAGTGGCTTGTATAGCGTCGTAAAGCATAAAAGATCTATTGGCAGGAGTGAAGTGGTTAAGGATTTTAAAGAAGGGGTCGCGCGCGTGGCTAATTCTGTCCCGAGAAAAGGTAAAATATTGCACATTATCGAAGTCACGATTCAAAATCCTCCGGAAGGTGAAAATAAAGTGGTAAAACCGGGCGAAGATCGAGCAAGAACCACCAAGAATCCCCCAGTTTTTACGGAGTCCGACATCCCCTTAGAAGAATTCGACAAGCTCTTGCTCTCTACACTCGATGACCGTGAGTGAAAAGACGTGCAAAACCCGGTGAGTAATGCCCGACTTGTTAAGTCTCGCAAGGTTAAAAAAGAGGCGATCGACTGGTCGACCCTCTTGACCAATTGCGCCCAAATGGTGGCATCGGGTGACCGTCCAGCCGCTGCTTCTCTCCTAACTAAAATTAGACGGCACTCGTCCTCTAACGACGACTGGGACGAGAGGCTGGCCCACTACTTTGCCGATGGGCTGGAGGCCCGCCTGGCCGGGACTGGCGGCCAGGTGTACAAATCACTAGTGTTCTCCCCCCCCACCTGCCTCAAGACTTACTACACGTCGATCGCGTCTTTCCCGTGTCGGAAAGTTGCGAACCTCGTCTTGAACAAGCTCCTCGCGGCCCGGTCAGCTGGCTCGGCCGGTGTCCACATCATCGACTTCGGCACCGTCTTAGGATTTCACTGGCCGATCTTCATGCGGCGCTTGGCCCTTCGGCCCGGCGGGCCGCCGAGGCTCCGGATCACCGGCGTCGACTTCCCCAGACTGGGCCACGGGTCCACCGAGATGATGGAAGAGACGGGCGAGCGACTGGCCCGCTACGCTCGGGCCTTCGGCCTCCCGTTTGAGTTCTCTGGCATCGTCGCCCGAGAGTGGGAGTCGGTTAGCACGGCCAACTTCCAGTTGGTTCGCCCCGCATGAAGAACATTCCGGATGAGTCAAAAACGGCGGTTCTCGAGCTGATACGGGCAATCGGGCCCGACGTGTTCGTGCACGGCGCAGTGGACGGGTCGTATGGGGCCGGTTTAATTTGCGTTTAATTCGGTTTTTAAAAAATATATATTATTTTTTCCTTTTTTTTTCGGATTTTTAGAAATATATATTGAAATTATATATAAATATTTAATATATATATATATTAATATATAATATATATTTAATATATATATTTAATATATGTAAAATCTGAAAATTTAATATTGAATATATAATATATATATATATAATATATTTATTATTTTATAAATCAATCCCTCCCCTCACTAAAAAATAAAATTCAACAAAAGAAAAAAAGTACCAAAAGTTTATAAAAAATTTCGAAAATTCGGAAAACAATGCCTGTAAGTATTTTTTTTTTTAATTTGAATGGCATTTTTTTTTTAATTTTAAACGATTTTTTTTTTTATTATTTTTTTTTACCCGCCGCGCCGCTATTGCGGCGGTTCTACGCGCAGACGGCCGCGACCGCTGCCCTATCTGGCGCAATCGCGACGCGCGTGGCCGTCTCCTAGCCGCAATCTCGACGCGGCTGTTTTTCTTTTTTTTTTTTTTTTTTTATCAAAAAATCGAAAATAATAATATATATTATAATTTAAAAATAAATATAATATTTATATTTTATATAAATTTAATAAAATAAATATAATAATATATATTTTATATAAATTTTAAAAATAAATATTAGAAATATTTTAAATAATATTTTTGCCTTTTTCGCAATTAATTTTTTATTTAATTAAAATATATTTAAAAGATATTTTGTTTGCCTTTTTTTTTCGGTTTTTAATATATAAATTTAATATATATTATAAAATATTTTTTTCGTTTTTTTTGAATCTAAAATATATATTTCTTATTTCCCATTTTTTTCGGAATTTTAAAAATATATATTTAAAATATATATAAATATTTAATATATATATATATATTAATATATAATATATATTTAAAATATATATTTAAAATATAATATAATATATATAATATATATTTACATAATATAATAAATATATAATATATATTTATTATATATTTATTTAGAGAGAAGATACAATTCATTATTTTTGTAAAATTATTAACATACATCGTAACATATTGCAGGTGCCACTCGAAGATTTTGGAGGCGACGGTGAAGATTACCGAGCTTGTTTCGTTACAGATGAGGTATTTGATGATCCCGACAAAGCTATTGAATGGGCAAAAGACATTGCAATAATATGGGGTTTCCATTTGGTCATCTCGAGACACAATAAGGATGGAAAGGTTCGGACGTTGAAGTGTGATCGAGGGGAACGTTATAGGGGCAAGGCAGGAAAACTAGGGAATTTAGTTATTACTGTCTTCAGACGTTCGAAGACTAAATATACTGGTTGTCTTTTTGAGCTAAATGTGAAATTTGACGAGCAATCCAAAAAATGGTGTATCTGGCTTCCTTTAGAAGACGAGAAGGGATTTCATAATCATGCGTTGACTGTGTATCCCGAGGGTCATCGACAGATCAGCAGACTCAGCGATGCATCAAAAGAGATTATCCGTGATATGAGTGATGCTCAGGCAAGACCGACAGTAATTTTGGCTGCAATTCAGGACAAAAACCCTGTGGACAACGCTACTTGCCAACAAGTTTATAACTATAAAGCTCAATTGCGAAAAGACCGTCTGGGGGGTAGAGATGTTGCTGGCCAGCTTTTGCATTTGGCTACCGGCAGCAACTACATAGTTTACACAGACGTTGACCCGAACACACAAGCGTTGACACGTGTGTTCATGTCGCATCCACGAGCAGCCAGACTATTCCAGACATATTATTGGTATGTCGGTATAGATTCCACGTACAAAACGAACAGGTATGTTATATTACTTAATTAATCTCTATAAATATTAAAAAATTTAGTATTTACCTGAAACAATAATAGTAATAGAAATCCCGCCAAAAATTTTGTTCTTACTTTTATTAGTATATTTATTAAAAAATTGTAACACTGGCGGAATTTTTGAAAAAGTGAATATATCAGTTGTCCGAAATTCTTATAAACTTCGTTTTGTGCGGCAATAAATTTTTTTTATTCTTAAAAAAAGCTTCGGTTGATGTTGAAAAATGCGTGTGTTAAAAGTTATACATATATAACAATATAATTTGGCAAATAGTATGTTTGAGTAAGTTTTTTTGATCCTTTGTTTTTTGCTTTTGTTGATTTCATTTGTACAGGTACCACATGCCATTGGTTGAGATGATTGGAATGACGCCGTGCAACAAAAACTTCTTGATTGCTTATGCCATTGTGAAGGACGAAACCGAGTATAGCTATGACTGGGTCCTACAGCGGTTGAGACTGATGTTAGAGTCTGATAAACAACCTTCAGTCATTGTCAGTGATAAGGAGTCGGGGTTGATTACTCATATTCAGAGGAATTTCCCAACGACGCCCCACTTACTCTGCACGTGGCACATCAACAAAGATGTGGAAGACAAGGTGTATCGACTAACGTCAAAAAATAAGATCTTCGCGCAGAACTTCACGCACAGCAAGTGGAAGAAGGTCGTCGAGGCGAACACGTGGGAGAAATACAAAACTGCCGTAGAAGATATGATTGTTACATACGCGAAGTTTCCTCTTGTGCTGGATTATGTGGATAAGACGTGGCTAGCGCACAAGGAGAAGTTTGTCAAAGTGTAGACGGACACTGTCTTACATTTTGGCAACACAACGTCGTGTAGGGTGGAGAGTTCCCACGCTACGTTAAAGCGGTGGCTTCAAACGTCGACTGGTTCGCTCGACACGGTTTGGGAGAAGATTGACAAGGAGATTGAGTCTCAACTGACTAAAGTCAGGTATACTCTTCAAATTATACAGTCAGACTGTGTTTTTTTAATAATGCATTAATTATAAAAAAAATATGTAGTATTTATTTCGGTTTTGAAAAATATAGTTCTAAGATATAGATATATATTTATTTAATATATAAATTAAATATATAATATATATACATATTTATATAAATTAAATATAATATATATATATTTAATATATATATATATATATATTTAAGAAAAATATTAAGAATATATATATATATATATATATATATATTATATTAATAATGAAAACATATTAAGAAATAAATATATAAATATTATGTATATATTAATTATTAACATATATTAATAATTTAAGTTATGTATTAATAGGGAGACGTTGGAGTCTTCTAGATTCAGGATGAGTACGGGCTACAGGGGATTCCCTTTCGAGCAGTTGCAACTGCGATTCTCGCATTATTGTATGGATATATTGAATGATGAGCTTCAGAAGATGCGAGATTTCGGCAAAGATGTTTGTGATCTGTGCGATTGTGCGCTAAAATACACTCATGGACTTCCTTGTGCCTGTGACCTATGAGAGGCACACACTGAAGGTACACAGATTACGCCCAACGACATCCACAGGTTCTGGAGCACACTCGTGGTGACGGGGCCAGGTATACTCGTGAGATTAATAAATTTATAGAACATCATGTAAAGAATATAATTTTATTAAATTTTGTATACTTTTTTTTATTCCAAGTATTGCTTCATTTATTGATTTTTTTGATAGAGCACATTGTATAATTTTTTAAATTTTCGGTACGGACAGGTCAGCAAAGTGCATCGGTGAGTGGATGGACTGATCATGATTATTTCCGGCGACTTGCCGAGGAGGTTGAAGCGGCCGATCCTGCGACTATACGGTACCTGAACCATGTCATCGCCTCTCAACTTCATCCTGATGAACAGGGATACAAAGAACCTGAAGTGAAGGAAAATCCGAGAGGTCGCCCCAAGAAGAAAAATTCAACAAAACGCGATCCATCGAAATGGGAGTACACTGTTGGAGGCCGTACGGCGGGGCGTAAAAGCACTTCTTCGTATGCTCCATCGCAATCGGGGTACACGGAAACAGGTCGTCAGCCGGGGCGTAAGAGCACTTCTTCGTGTGATCCGTCGAAGTGGGAGTACAGGGGAAGAGGTCGTCCGGGGGCCCCGACATACTCATCGTCTCAAGATACGACAGGTAAATTTCTTTTTTATTTTTTTACTTGAACGATGATTAATTTAAATTATTAATATATTTTAATAATTACTAAATACATAATATTAATATATTTATTTCTTAATATTTTTTCATTATTAATATATAATAATATAAATTTTTTATTTTTGAATTGAACGATGACTACTTACGTTTGTAAATTTAATTACCTAAATAAATTGTGATGTGAAT